GCCTGGGTGCAGCAGGCGGGCCCACAGGGAGCCCGCCAAAGAGAAGTACTGGAAGTGGGTGTGAACCCCTGCACAGAGGGTGGGATGAGGAGGCAGGAGGAACAAAGACAGACCTCGGGTGGACTGAAACCATGAGGCCTGGGTGAAACTGGGGAGAACTCAGAGATACCAGATGCGGCATCAGAGAGACCAGAATGAAGGCAGAGGGGGGAAGGAGTCAACCAGGGCGCGGCCAGCAGATCTGGAACAGGTGAACTCAGACAGGAGCAGGTGAATTTGGCCACAAAGGAGTGACCAGTGGCTGTGGTTGGCAACTGTCCTTTACATCAGTAGAGAGCTGGTGCAGAGGCCAAGGAACAGAGGGCTGGGGACACACGGGGGAATGAAATGGGGACAGATTTAGGTATTAGGAGGGGAAGATTGTTAGGAACACAGTTTTCTTTTTCCAGGATGAAGGAAATTTTAATGTACAACAAGTAGAAAGGACAAATGGACAAACTGAAAGACAGGTGGATGAAAGAGCTCAGCAAGACCTGTCTTGTGTGTTTGGGGCTGGGAAGGCCCTGAGCCCTGGGCACTGGTGAGGGCTCAGCCCTGAGCTCTGCCTCTGAAGCCATAACCTTCCCAGGGGTTCTTTAAAGACACAGGAGCATCTGTATGGAGCCAGGACTGAGGGCCGGGTCAGCACTGTGTGACTCCTTCCCTCTCGTTTCTCCTCAACTAGAGAAGTCACCAGTATCTCTAGCTATGGGAAACCTCTCTCCCTCCCCATGGAGCTACCTGGGCCTGATTCCCACACTTCAGTGAGTTTGGAAAAACCTAAACCTAGCTTCCCTCAAAACACAAGGTAGCCCTGCCCTATGTCTGCACTCAGTTGCTCCTGCTGTGGAGCCCAGGTTAAGAGTCCAGGGTCGACCATTTCCAAAGGATAGCACTGAATGGACTGCCCTTGCCCCCTCCAATCACTTGCTGCAGGCTCCCAGGCCCTGGGCTGACACGCCCTGCCAGCCCCCACTGATCCCCAGAGCTGAAACCACCACCCCAGGCTCTCGGGTTGGAGCTGGATGCCTGTGTCATTAGAGAGAGACTTTTTTATTATTCCCATAGGGAAGGGAGACACAAGGGGATCACTAAGAACTATAGCAGTTGCCTGGAAAATAAATTAAAACAGAAATACATCAAAACAAAAAGGAGATAAGAGAAATGGAGAGCGGCGGGGGCTGCGGTGACAGGCGGCCCACCAGGCAGGCAGGCTCTCCCAGGAGAAGGCTGAGCAGTCCCAGGCTTCAGCCAGCCCATTTCTTGTCCCTCTGTCTGTGATGGCCCCAGACTCCAAGCCTTGTGGGGCCGTGACTCGAGGCCTCCCTGCAGCCTGGCCAGGGAGTGGCCAGAGTCCAGCTTGGGCCCCCCAGGGGCCTGGCCAGCAGCAAGCAGCACTCTGCCCTCATGGGTTCGTAGGTGCTCCCTTAGTCATTAGAGGTGACATCGATGTCCTCCCCGTTGGCCTGCTTCGTGGCAATGCGCCACCGGTTGATGTGGTGGGAACCCTTCTTCTTCTGCTCGGACTCAGGCCCTTCCTCCTCCAGCTTCTGTCGTTTGTATTTTGTCCTCCGGTTCTGGAACCACACCTTCACCTGGGCCAGGAGGGAGAGGCACAGATGAGAACACCCAGCAGCCCCAGAGCAGCCAGGGCCGGAGTGCTCACGTGAGCTGGGAGGCAGCTGGAGAAACGTAAGGTCAGGGCTCACAGACCAGGGTCCTCTCCTCGGGCCAGCTGTCACCTGATGGGTCTGGAGAACTGCTCTTCCAGGGCAAGTGAGATGGGGCCGGAAGAGGACTCTGGGCTGGTGAGGGGGACATATTCTGGTCCCTCTCACAGGCAAGGGATGGGGTGTGGAGCCACTGAGCATCCTGGTCCCTGCAACCACAGCAGAGGCAAAGCCTTGCAGCAGACCTGGCACTACCGACTTCGAGAGAAAAGAGAGAAGGATCGCTGTTTCCTGGGGTGGAGTGAACGGTAAACGTGAGAATAGGTAACCAGTCACCGAGTCACCATGTGGGTCCCAGCAGGTTCAAGCTGACTCCCTCCCTTGGCTGGCCCTGAGCTCTCCACTGCACAAAGAGGCTTCCCAACCTAGAGATGGTGTCCACACCAAGAGCAGGGCACGGGATGGCCAGGCCACTCCTAGGGTCACGGAGCTACCCCTAGAGGCTCTACCCCACGTCCTGTTCATCTCCTTTATCAGGGGACCCTTGATTGCAGCCTCTGGTGGAATTGCCACCCTCCACCCCCACACACATTAGAAGTGGAGCTGGGCAGGCTGGAGCTAGGCAGTGGGGAGCCCTGGCCCCTCAGTGCCAGGCCCTTGGGGTAGTCTGAAATCTACCACTGAGCCCTTGTCCTCCTTAGACAGACAAGGGTGGAAGGAGGCATGTGTGAGGCCCCACATCAGGGCAACGCTCTGCCCTTCAGGACCTTCCGCTCCCACAGCACAGGCCCTGTCCTGCTGTGGGAACAGGTAGTACCAGAAACAGGAGAAATCCTGGGGACCATAGTAGACTCCTATTTGAACACAGAGAGCTCCCCACTGCATCAGGCAGTGAGAACCCCGACAAGAGGAGAGACGGGGCTCAAACCAAAGCTGGACAAATGATCTCCATTGCAGAGGGGCAGGCAAGTCGCGCTTCCAAACCACCCAGGAACCCTTCCTGGTTTTATCCTAGCTCCAATCGCCCTCGTCCTCCTCCCTCAGTGTTTACTGAGGGTCCAGGATGCAGCCCTTCACATCCTCCCATATGCAACCCGAGAGGTGGTACCTGGGAGCATCCTGGCCTGTGCACTGTAGAGAAAGCCTTTGTCCACCAACTCCACCTGACTGTGAGCTTCTTTCTTTGGCCCTGCAGAGCTGGGCCAAACTCAAACCCTCCTCCTAGTTGGCAGGAGGAGCCTGGGTACCTACCTTGGCTAAGCCCCTTTCTCTCTCTGGGCTTAAGTCCCTTGTCCACAGGAAGAATGTTTTTTGGAACCAATGCAACTCCAGGGCACCTCCTGGACTCTTGAGCCCAGGACCCAGAGGTCCCTGGGGAGGGGATGCAGAGAGGGCAGGCTCGCAAGGCATGGAGCGTTTCCTGGAAATGTCAGCACATCTAAAAGCAAGTTGGACCAGGCACAGTGGTGTGTGCCTGTAAACCCAGCAACTTGGGAGGCTGGGGCAGGAGGATAGCAAGTTTGAGGCATGCCTCAGCAATTTAGAAAGACCCTGTCTCACAATAAAAAAAATAAAAAGGTCTGGGGATGTAGCTCAGTGGTGAAGCACCCCTGGGTTCAAGCCCCAGTGCCCCCAAAAATAAATCAATAAAAGCACCTGATGCTGGCAACTGCAGCTGTGCAGGTGGCTTGGGTAAGTCATGTGCATGGAGTGGCAGTGAGCACCTCAGTTTAGACAGCAGCAGTGACTGCTGAGGGGAGCATCCTGAGGATGGTTTCATGCCCAGGACATGCCACCCTCACACACCCTCCCCAGACGCTCCTCTCTGTCCCCTCCATGGAGCTCCCTGCTACAGGGTCCACCACACGACCTCCTCTTTCCAGGTTCCCCTGGACCCTCTGCCCTGCCCCCTTGGTCTTAGAGCATGAGGGTGGAGGTGGGGCAACTGGTGCCCAGTCACTGTCCCAGAAGACGGGGTGCATAGCTGCAATGGATGGAGCAAGGGTGAGGGGCTTCTTCCTCCATTTCCAGGGCAGGTTCAAATCAGTGGCCTGCACGCTTCACTTCAGGTAGACATGAGGATGGCAGATGCTCTGGACACAGGGTTTCTGGATTCCATGCCCACCTATCCTTGGACACAGGGCCACCCAAGCCCTGGTTGGTTCTCAGCACCACCATTTGGCAGCCAGCCCAGTCCCTGCCCTCCACCCCAGAGCCTGCTGTGACTGTGCCAGCCAGTGGGTGGGTGAGCTCACCCTGCCTCCTGTGTGTGACTCAGGGCTGGATGCAAGGCTGGGGTGTCATTTCTGAGAAGCCCAAGTGGGCTAGCCGAGGGTGATTACCAGGTGATGGTGGACAACACCAGAGACAGAGGCCCCTTCTGCACCTTTCTCCCCACACACTCCTAAATCTCCTTCTAGAAAGGAGTCTGACCATCACCCTGACCTCCAGTGGCTTAGACCCGGCCATGCTACCTTTCCAGCAACCCTGGCCAAAGAGGGATGTGCTGATGGTAGCACTAACTGCAGGCACAGGAGGACACGTTTTCAAGCCAGGGGCCACGTCCTGGCACACCAAGTGGAGGTGTTTTTTCTCCATGAAAATCCTGGGGTCAAGGAGGCAGGTCTTAAGAAACAAGGACACAGCCCTCTCCCTAAGCAGCCCAGCTATGTTCCGGAGAACAGCCTTGGACTGAGTGTCCAGATGCTGTTTACAAAGACTGTAATAACAGGGGGACGCTGATGACTTCATAATGCTAGTGACAAAGCTGGGATGCACAGCACTGGCACAGTGTGGTCACAACCATGGAAAACAAAATCTACACATGGGGAGAAAGACTAGAAGGGAATGTACCCGAACCATGGCTGACTCTTCTCACTTCCTTTTACTTCTGAATTTTCTAGAATGCATTACTGATGTAACAATAATTATTTTTTACTTGGAGGGAAAGAAAAAAAGAAGGGAATGGGCACTGAGTACAATAGGAGATGAGAGTGTACTTCACACTCTTCCTAATCCAACCAGGTGAATCTGAGGACACCTCTAGAGGACAGAGGGCCTAGAAGGAAAGCAGGTCACATGGTGTGGCTATCAGCTTCATGGCAGCAGGCCCTAGGAGGCTGCACCTATTTTGCACGTGCCTTCCCACCCCAACACCAACACATTCGTTCTCTTAGCTCCAAAGACAGTCAGAACGATTGCTGGGTGTGATGGCACACACCTGTAATCCCAGTGGCTGAGGCAGGAGGATGGCGAGTTCAAAGTCAGCCTTAGCAACTTAGCAAGGCCCTGTCTCAAATGAAAATACAAAAAAAAGGCCGGGGATGTGGCTCAGCGATTGAGCATCCCTAGGTTCAATCCCTTGAACTGAGGGAAAAATAAAGAATGACGATTCTCTTGCTCAATGTGATGTTTCTGGGTTGGGGGGGCGGGGTCTGTGGTCTCCCAAATCTCTCCCTTCATCGAGTGGCTCTCTGTTTCTTAGTGAAGCCAGATCCTTCTAAGACTTTCCACTTTTGCCTGAGTTACCAGACCTGGCATACTCTCACTTGACCTTCAGGATGCCACTCAGATGGTCCTACACAGGACCTGCTCCCTCTTGGTGCTTTTCCACTGTCTCAGTAACAGAGACCTCCAGCTGCCTACTCCTCTACTCATTCACATCTCCATCTTCTCACCAGTCTATGGGAATCTGGAGAACCAAGCAGTCTATTAGCTGGCCCCACCCAAAGACCTGTTCCATGTGTGGCTATCCAGCTGGACTGAGGTGAGGTGCCACCTCGTCCAGGGCTCCAGGCAAGAGGTCCCAGGGCCAGACCTGGAAAATAGAACATCAATAGAAAAAAGATTCAAGTCTAATCAGAAAAGGCGTTTGGGAAGTGCTGCGTGCTGGAGAGATGGGATCCCCATTGGTTTAGGTTCATGGATACTTTAATAAGAGATTTGGTTCCTAATTTTCCATATGGAAAACTGGACTTACTGCTTCCAGGGGGGAGTTGGGGGGAGGGAGACCCATTTTTTTTTTTCAGAGGGACAAGGCTCAGGCCTGAGTCAGACAGGATCAAGGAGCTGAAATTCCTGTGGATAAATGAACATATCAGTTCAATAGGGGACTGGTCCATGTATGCATTAGAAATGAAGCATGTGTACTAATACGTGAAAGATGAGACAAATGAACAGAAAACAAGCAAATTATAGCCCCAGCCAATGTTTCAGAGCTTCATTTTTTGCATAATGTCCTGTATTGAAAGAGGGAGGTCTAGACCCCTCCTTTTCCTCTGCTCCCCCAACCTTATCCTGTGGCGAATACGAAGGTCCGTGGTACCAGGTCCCCGCCTATTTTCAGGGGAATACCTGTCCTTTCAAGAAGTTCAAATATCCTAATCAAGATCTTGTAATTCTGACATAGGAAGTTCCTCCTTATGTTCTCTTGTTGTCTCTTCTGCTTTAATTTAAGCATGTCTTCTTATTCTGTCACTCTCAGACACACAGAAAGTCCTCAGAATAGATAGCAGCTTAAAACCATCAATCAAGTCACCCCTCAGCCTGCTCTTCTCTCTGCCGTGTCCCCGGGATCCACTTCCTCTCATTTGATCATATCAGTGTTTCCTCTCCTAGAGTCAAGCCAATGCCATGTGAAGCTCAATCCCCACCCCAGACACCTCAGCTCACCTCCAACTCCCCACCAACCTCAGCCCTAACTCCTCCTAAGCTTTCTTATCTCCTCCTCTCAGCCTACCCTGGACCCTCACCCCCACTCTCTTAGATAGACATTGCAAAATTCACCTGCCTCCATGTCTCCTGTCCCAGCTCCTCACAGAATCACACCAATCTCCCTTCCCCCATCTCACCCCACCACCCAGGACTCCTAAAACATCAGAGATGCAAAGATTCTTGGAGAAGAGCCAAGGCTTAGAGAAGGGATGCGTCATCCCAGAACTCAGAGGGCGAGCAACAAAGGTCTCTTGACTTTTCCTAAAATTCACGTCACTTGGGTGTCTCCCCTCATCCATCCTCCAAAAGGCAGAGCATGCCAGAGCAGAAAGAGACCCCCAGAGCCACCTTGCCATGTCTGTAGGGAAAGAACCGTCTCTAGAGTCAGGGATAGATGACCACGTACTCCTGCCCCCCAAGACCTCTCTCCTTGCTCTCTGGCTCCAAGATGACATCTGGACCTGACAGCTCCTTCTCCTTCTTAATCTGCCCACCTAAGCCCCCTTCCCCATCCTTCCCTCCAACATAGAATCCTATGCCTCTCTCCAGGCCTTCCAGATTGGAGGCTCCCTGGGAGCCGTCTGCCCATTCAGGTCTTTCTTGATCACCCTCTCAGCCCGCAGCTGTGGCCTCAAAGGGACTTCAGTCACTCATCCTGTGCACATCCTGTAAGTGTCCACACTTTCCATTTAGCCTCCACCACTAAATGAGGACTCTCTAAAACCAAGATCACATTTCCGTACCCTTCTCCCTCACAGCTCAGCTAAAGGCAAAGGCAGACAAGGTCAAGAGACACTTATCTGTCAGAGCAGAAGGAGCGGCAGCAACCTGCTCATTCATTTCCCCTAAAATTAATGTACCCTGCAACACACACACACACACACACACACACACACACACACATATACACGAGCACATACACAGCAGCATGCAAGCAGCATGATATCATGTGACTGCCTACTCGCATGTGATGAGTACCTATACCACCTGACCTTTGGGCATCGATCACATTGTGGGCACACATCTGTTACTCATATACACCACACACACTTATCACACTCAGGCTCTGATGTGACACAGGCCTGAGCCTGCCCAACCAGCCACTGGGACTGAAGCTTAGATGCGTGCCTTCCTGGACACGCTCCAGCCCTGCACCATAGCAGTAAGGAGCAGCTAATTAGAGACAGAAGGGAGAACTGGCTCTTGCCCAAGGCCCTTTCTTCTACCTCTTGGGTTGACCCAGTGACCATCCCGGCACAAATCCCCGACCTCTGACTAAAGGGTGTGCCTACACCAACAAAATAGCACAGACTGCTCACCTCTTGGTTCCTCATGCTAAAGTTCTGTGAGTGCAAAGCTCCACACACACCAAACTGTTTAACCCTCCCAAAAGTTTTATCCATGAACTGGTGTTTGCATCATCTAAATCAAAAATCATCTATAAAAATGCAAGGGAGAGATAGGAGAGGGACAGGGAGGGAGCTGTGACAGCAGACAGCAAGGGGAATAACTAAGAAAGTTAGTGTTCATATTTGTGTGGAATGAAAAAAAAATCTTTAAAACTTCCCATTCATTTAATGCATATTTACTGAGCAGTTACTTCATGCAGGGCACTAAACAGGGCTCCCCTGAGAAATAAGACAGGATTGGCTTCTACTTCCCATAGCTGAGATGCCCAGGTCTATTGTTAATCAAAATCATCCAGAGAGCTGCTTAATTTTTTCCCCCAATTCTGGAATTCTTTAGAGCCTATGCTGGGGGAGGCCCAGGAGTATGTATTTTAAGATTTCCCAGAGAGATGGATAAAACATTTACAGATTGATATTTGCACATGAGAGATAATTAAACAAGTAATAACAACAAGATTTGATACATATTAGGATGGGATATACATATAAAGGATATACTGTGGTCTCTGAGAACATAGAGGAGGGATTATACAGAAACACAGAGAAGTAGAATATAGATAATCCACAGAAACTCCAGGCTGGAGAGAACCCTGGAATTCATTTCATTCCATCTCACAGATATAGGAGCTGAGGACCAAAGAGAAGACAAAGCCAGAGTCAACAAGATGACAGAGAGCCATTAGCAGACATCTGAATATACCCACAGTTGCTAATTGCTCTGTAGAGGTGATGTTTGAGATGGATGGTGGACACACAGAAAATATAACAAACTAGATGATAAAGAGATAACTAAGAATCGGGTAAATAGCAGTTATTATTAGGAAGAAGAACATGTAATTAATAGAAAACAGGAAATATAAATTAACCAATTTGGCAGGGGGTTTAATGAAAGCAGACAAGTCTAGATGGCTGGTTATAAAATAGCTATCTAGGAGGGACAAACTAGAGAATTGTGAGTAACAGTTGTAGATATGGACAGAGATGCACAGAACAGAGCTGATGCTTGACAAATAGCTGATGGCTGAAAAGGACAGGTAAGCCTGTAGGGTACACACAGAGAGGTAGACAGACAATTATACAGCTTAGGTCCAAGTGATGAGTTAGGAGACAACAGAAAGACAACTCTGATGTTAGAGACTGGATGTGGCAGGAGAACACTGGCCTAGAAGACACCTAGGTTTGCATCTTATGTCACTAACTTGACACATTCCTTTAAATGAAGAAAAGAAAAGGGATTGGGAATAGGAATTAATATTATCTGAGTTCATATTAGGCATATTTAATCATTGAACATCTATTTTCTGGGCGAAGAAACAAGAACTCAGAGAGATTGAGTAATTTGTCTAGGGTCACACAGTTAATATGGAGGTGGGTATTTGAAATTGCACCTGCCTGACTGTAGGGCTCTGCACAGTCCATCTCTCTATCTCAGGATCCTCACCTAGAAAGATAGGCAAACACAAGGAGATTCCTCAGGCTCAGACCTCCCATAATTCTATCACATGCAAAAACCAGCTCATTTACAGAGGGAATATGATTAGTCATGAGTTCTTATCATTAATGAAACCATAACTATTTCACTATTATATCTGGTTTGTTCTAAATGTTTGAAATATCTCATAATTAAAGTAAAAGAAACAATCAGTCCGTTTACTAACTGGCATTGTTAGGAACAAATATTGACAGGCTGCTAGATTCATTTGAAAGAAAGTTAATTAAAAATGCTCTCACTGAGCTAAAAAATTGAAAGTTTAAAAACAATGACATTATTTCAACAAGTGCTAATCTGTGGGTGGTGGGATTATAAACTGTTTTGTTTTCTTACATGTCTGCAATTAAAATGCAATAAATATTACTTTTTAAATGAAGTTAATTATAAACACCATTCTTAAGTTGACACCTTGTTTTAAACAATAATTTTAAAACATTGTTTGCCAGGAGAGAAAAGAGGTGTTATTTTATCAACTTATTATTTTCTTTATAACATTTTAAAAATTCACTTCGTTGCTTCCAAAGCTTTTTTTCCTACAATTAGAACAGACACTTCAGCTCTACCAAGTCTGAATAGGAATGAGTCCTGCCATGGAGCCCAGAGGATGAATTAGTGGGGCATCAGACAGGGCTGCAATGGATGCCCAAATAGGAGAACCAGAGGGTCAGGTCAGCAGCAGAAAGCTGAGGGTGCAGTTAGGGTTTCTGGCTCCCCCTCTAGACCCCCTTCCTAACCCATCTGCTAATGGGAGACCCCAAAACCAAGGTGGGGCTTCTCCCTGTCCTGAGCTAGGGATGGGAGGTGTGGGAGAGGGATGTGGGGAGGAAAGGGTGTCAGAAGGTGAAATGCCAGTTTGCTGAGAGTTGCTGGGCAGTGGGAGCCCACCTCTCATCCACAAATCTCAGAGATGGCAGAGACTGAAAGCGTTTCCAGGCACCAAAATCTGCCTCCAGGGCAGCAGCTGGGCAGAAGAAGGTAGGCCCTGGGTGGACAGGAGTTTCCAAGGTGCTTCCAGGTAGTATTGATGGCAAAGTACCTACAATGAACCCAAATCAGCTTTCCTGTAACTCCCAACTACTTCTTTAATTTTGTTTCTTAAATTAATTATCCATTGCAAAAAAAAATACTTCATGGTAATTGTAACATCACCCAGTTCAAAGCCCTCTGACCCCACTGGAGTTTATTTCCTTCTGCATTTGACAGCACTCGCTGTGGCAACAGCTCCTGTGTACCCAGTCCACTCTCCCACCCTCCTTAGCCTCTTGGAGGTTCTGCATACACCCATCACTGTTCCCTGAGCCCCAGCTGTCAGCCTGCGTGGGGATCGATGCCACTCTTGGACCTCAAGCAGGAGCTGGTGGCTTCCTAGCTCAATCCCTCTGCTTCTGACGCTGGTAGCCTGAGAACACCTGGATTTTTCCCCGCTCCACACACGCTGGTGGGCAGCCGAAGCCTCGCCAGGTTTGCTCAGGAACGGCAGCCCAGTCAGTTGTTGGGAAGGCCAGGTCATCCCGCAGAACTGTGAGCATCCCGCGGAACTGTGAGCGTCCCGCAGCAGCGGCGGGAGAGTGGCTGCAACAATCCCAGGGCTGAGACCGCTCGGCTCGCTCGGGTAGACTAGGTGCTGCCCGCGCGCGCGGCCGCTCCCGAGGCTGTGTGTTGCCTTGGGCTAACCTGGGCCCTCCAGAGGGGCATTAGGAGCCTACTCGCAAACACGGTTTGTGTCTACTCTGCCTCCTGCTGGGTCGTTGTGCTAGACAAAAGTCCTGCGGTCTCAGCAGGATAAGCACAGCCGGAGAGAAAGGGCTCTAAGGACGGGCTTTGCTGGAGCACCGCGGGGGTGGCTTTTGATACCCGGGGGCAGAGAACTCCGGGCCAGGCTGGGGCGGAGGCTCGCAGCCACTGCTGCCCCGCCCGCCCCACCTCCCCGGGCTCCCGGGCGCCGCGCTGGGCGCAGGGCAGGCTGCGGCCCGGGGGTAATTATTACCTGCGTCTCGGAGAGGCTGAGGCTGCCGGCCAGCTGCTTCCGCTCGGCGCCCACCACGTAGTGGTTCTTCTCGAAGGCGCGCTCCAGCCGCAGCAGCTGCGAGGGCGAGAAGGCCGTGCGGATCCGCTTGGGCTTGCGCGCGAAGGGGCCGTGCAGAAGCAGCCCATCCTGGGGCACGTCGCTCGCTGTGGCCCCGGCAGCCGAAGGCAGCACACGCAGGTACAGACAGAGAGAAGGGGCGCCGTAAGCTGCAGCCCGGCCGCCAGGCCGCCCGGGGGAGCGGGCCACGCTCGGCCTCCAGCCCCTCTCCCGAGCGTCCTTGAGCGCTCCGCTCAGTCTCCAATCCTTGATACCCCCATCCACTTCTCCCCTTTTCCTTTTGCTATTTGACTCCACCCCGCTTCCCAACACCTCCCCACACTTGGAGAGTTATCCCGCCAGGGATGCGCGCAATCCCAGCCCAGTGGATCACTCTTTGGGGCCCAGAGTCCACGCCAGGCCTGAAGAGGCGCCGACCCGCCCAAATCCACACTTCGTGGAGCAGCCGAAGAGGCCAAGGGATGGCAAAAGTCCTTTGGCCCTCCTTTTCCCTTTCACTGCCTTGCTACCTCTCCCCCTACCCCCTCACCCCTCACCCCACCCGCTCACCCCAGTGATTTGCTTTTAAGTAACTGCTCGTGAAGCACCTCCCTCCCAAAAGACCGAGAGTACCGAAGGTGATAAGGGGAACAGTCAGGCTGTAGGCCAGCCCACCCCAAACTAGAAAGTACCCAAGGACTTTCCTCTCATACTTGCTTCAACTAATCTGGCAGCTACATGCTCAGGCTACTAGCCTGTTGGAAACTCCTGCTGAAAGGATAGGAGCAGGCTCTATCTTGGAAAAAGTAAAAATAGCCAGAGGCTAGGTCATCCTGCTGGAAGCACCTGGAGATCTAAATTGAAGTTGGGCTCCTTCTTCCCCCTCCCCACCCCTCTCTCCACAAACCTTAGACTGTCTGGAGGCCCAACCTCAAGGATTAAACCTTGTCCTCACAAGAGACTCTAATTATTCCCTAGTGGGAAAAGGCACTGCTTCATCCCTAAATAGTCCTATGCTCAAGAAACATGTAAATAAATATCTGGATGTCATCTAATATAGATATAGATATAGATATATTGGTTTCTGCATAGGCATGGGTAAAAATATATGCTCCAGATTTCCTACTACCTCCCCCCCCCCTAATTTATTGAATAGGATTTTTGAGTATGACTGTCCCTTGGCAGATGTTGGACCAAGTTCCTACACTCAGGGGGACTGGATGAGGCTAGGGCAGTGATCAGAAAGTACAAAAGCCAAAAGAGGCTTCCACTCATAGACCCAGTCTTCAGTGAACCCCTCACACAATCTCCAGTCTTAGTTGCACATTGTTACAGCCTGGAAACAAGCTTTGAAAACATCACCCATGGAGTCTCACACAGTGGTATATAACAGTCTCCCTGACCCACCAACACAGAGCCCTAAACGGAATGTTTTGACACAGTTTGCTGTTGAGAGTGACTGATCCAATTAATTTCTTCAGAGATGGTTACCAGTTTGACTCAATTTGACCAGCAGTTTTGCTCTTAAGACAATTATCTGGACAATTCAGTTGAGCTCTCCCATCTTAGGAAGCATCTATGTATGTGAAGTACAGGCACATCATAAAGATGCTATTGCTAAAACTCTCCAGGTGAATGTTTGGTCCCTCTGCTGGTGGAATCTGCCTGACCTTACTTTCTCCAAGTCCTTGGACTTGGAGACATACGAAGGCCAATTTTATGACTGGGGTTTTCTGTGGAACAGGATTGCCTATGATTGAGCCTATGGCCTGGGGAGAGTCAAAATCACTAACCTCCAGTCATCTTATCCATTCAAGTGGCTGGATCTGTGATTTTAAAAAAGAGGGAGATGGAGGAGGGGCACTGGTCCCCTGAGCGGTTCAAGGTGGGGTCAGTTCCAGGGCCATTAGTCCTGACTAAAGGAAGAGAGATTTAAATCGAGGAGGTGGAGGTACAGATGGTCAGGGGAGGTTGTCTTCCAGAGAGAGATAAAAGGATGTAAAAATGAGGAGTCTGCTCCAGGGGGAATAAGGAAGATTAAAGTGTCTGGTGGTGGTGGGGAACCAAAGTGATACACTTAGGGAAAGGTGGGGGAGGTGAGTGGGATGCTTCTTGGTGATGTTAAAATGAATTGCTTCAAAAACCAACATTGTTCTGAGTCCAGGTGAAGTCTTGGCACTGATTTCCTCTGGACAAATGAACTTGAGAGGGAAAGAAAAAGCCCAATTCATCCCAGCATTAAAAGGGTTTGGTTTCAGCTGCCGATGGCCTAAACTGGTCAGGAGTGGGGTTATAGCAAGGAAAGGCCCTGGATGTGTGAGTGAGTGGATGCAGAGGTGTGCAGGAAAGTGTGGAGCTGAGAAAGCAAATTGCACTCTGTGATTGTCCTTGTACTTTAATGATTTGGGGGAGTGTATCAGTCACCTGTGTAGTGGAGTTGAGTGCTGTCTTTATAATCCAGACTGGAGGATGGCAGCCAAAATCTCTGCCCTTCTGACATACATAACTCCTTTGCCTCCAGTCTTGTTAGTTTCAGGGAAAGCTAAGTTGTGTGGGGTCTATCTCGATGAAAGAATGGCCCCAGTTCATTGTAATGTCCTCTTGTGGTAGGCAGTATGTGTCCCAGTCTATGTCCACATAAGGACAGGTGTCCTTCTAACCCAACATGAAGAAGCAGGATTCTGGAAAATTATACAAAATGCTGATAAACAATGACAGGTTATTAGATTCCAAAAGAAGCAGGGCTTCTTCCACTAAGAAGGAAGGATGTTTAGTACAAAACTAACATCCTAAGACACTGATCAAATGTTTCTGTAAGGATAAGGGTGCCTTAGGTGACTACTGGACCTGACCCCTCTCACTCTGACCTGTAGGGAATGGTCCATCCCTTCCTACCACCTCCAATCATCCCTTACTCTTCATTTTCTCTTGACTGGGCCACAAGGGCAAAACAAGTTTGGGGCTGTGGTGCTGCCAGTTTGCACACAGTAATTCCAGGCTGAGAAAAGGCTGTAGTTTCCAACTAAGAAAGGTGAAGGGGAAACGGACTGCTACAGCCTTCCTGGAGTTTGAAACTGAACATCCCCCACCTCTACGGTTTTCCTGTAGCCTTTCTCTGCGGGCCTCTTCAAGGCTATGGCTGGGAGTTAGCAGTAAGAGACTCCCAGGAATGAGGCAGCCGGAAGCGAGAGCTACGGATCCGAAGAGCCCTGGGCTGGAGCTGCAATCCTTACTAACTAGAGAGACCGCGGCCGGCCAGGGACTCAGGGATTACCGGGCGGAGGGGCCTGGGGCTAGGACTGGGAAAGAAGGCTAGGCGGCGGAGATAACCTCAATTCTCCTTCTCTGGCTGGAACAAAGGCGCCCTTTGAAACACGGCCCGTTACCATCGCTGGACCGGGAGGGCTGGGTCTCACCCACAGCTCCCTCCCTGCGCCGCTCCCCTGCCCGGAAAGTTCTTGATCTCGGAGAAATAGCGCCGAAATGCAGCCAATCTCTCTCTTCGCGGATTCCTCTCATCGGACCTCGCGAGCGGCCCCAGGCTTTGGGGTCCAGATCATTCCATGCTCCTTTTTTTTAATCTTCCACAGCCTAGCTTAGTGGAGAAGTCCCTTCCCCATGCGCCGGACCGCGCAGCCTGAGAGCGCAGAGCGCAGAGCAGAGCGCAGACATGTTTCCTTTTCGTTCGTGTAGGGTTTCGTTTTTTTGCATTAAAACGGGGCTGAAATGAGCAACGCGGAGACCCGGTTCTCTAGAAAACGCGGCGCCGGAGGCCCGGGGACGGCTCGGCTCCCAGCCCCGAGGCCCGGCCGGACTGGAGGGCGCTCCGCCGCCCGGACGCACTTCGATCTGCCGCAGAGACGATGGGCCCAAAGCCACGGTCTCTCAGGATTTGAAAAGTCCTTCAGTGCCCACCGGATTTCTGGATTAGAAAATGCGACCGCTTGACTCCATCTCCGCGTCCAGACGCGATTCTTGAGTGAAAAATCCAACCGTTTCTGCAACTTGACAACGTATCCGCTGAGACTGATGGTTCGGGGAGCCGCAGCAATTTCCGAGAAAGGGTTTTGCAGAGAATTTATCCGGCCTCGACTGGCTAGGAATGCCCAGAGTAGGAACCTTATCTCTTGCAAGGCGCACCCAACCCTTGGTGCCCCAGGTCCTCGAGGGCGAGGCCAGAGGTGCAAAAGGTGTTACCGAGCGCGTGGGATTCAGGATCCGAAGCGGAGGGAGCCTCTCAAGCCGAGCCGCTGCACAGGTCTGGGAACCTGTCGCCTGGTTCTTCTCTGAGCTCCAGACCCTCACCAGTTCCCTACCCGCGGGCTGCGGGCTCACAATTTGCTGAGGCTCAAACTCCGCCCGTGAGTGCAAGGTTTTGAAACCCAGGCTGAGTCTACCCGGGGTAGTTTGCTGAATTTGAATATAACCTCATTTTATCAGTAAGCATTGGTTTTAAGTAACAGGAACTCTTGCTAAAGCGGCTAACCTGTAGGCTTTTTTTTTTCTTTTATCCTCCCAGATCTGGATTGGGGCAAATCTTTGAAATCCTCAGAAAAGACAAGTCTGCCCACAAAAATTCTTATCAAGTAATTACATTCTCTGAATCTTCCGTGTGAGCATCTGTTGGTCAGGTGGAACTAAAAAAACTGACAAATCGGTTCCAGGAAAGCAGCTTTCCCTGAAACAGTCAAGCAACTATAGCCAGAGCTTCAAGAGATAATTTTCTTTTATTATTTAAGTAATTGTACCAGACATCTAATTTCCTGTCGTACACCCAGCTTCCCTGCAGATTAGCTCCAGGAGCTGAAGCTCCAGCCTTGCCCTTTCCGTTGTTGTACTAAAATCCGAATTACCTAACTCCCACTGATAGATGGAACCTCCCAACGCTGGAGTCCCCTTTACACTAACAAAATAAAAGTGAGAACTAAAGCAATTACTTTGCAAATTAAGGCCACTCTTAGAAGGAAGGAAGGAAGGGGGGAAAAACCCAAATTCCAACAAATTCAAGGAAGAAAACGAAGTCCAACAAATGCAACTCATTTTTAGGGTGAAAGTCAGATAATTGAAGAGAGTGAGGGTGTGAGTGCGCGCGTGTGTAAGGCCTGTGGGGGATCTTAATTAGCAAACGGATTGCTTGGTGCAGACCAGGGGGATAGGACTTGCTACGACCTTAAAAGCCCTCCGCCCCCTACCCGCTGCTCTGGAGGACTGTAGTCAGTCCCCCTGCAGCCGGGTAGATTCCCGCAGGCAGCCCCCGGTAAAAGAAGCCTGTTCCCTTACTGCAAACCTTCCTCACCCTGGGTCCCAGAAACACGTGGGACTTGGAAAAGTCGGGCTAAGGTTAGCTGAGAAACATCCCAAGACGGTGGCGCACTCCATACTGAACATTAACTCTGAGGTTTTCCCTGCCCGCTGCCCTGCTTCGTACTGAGCCAGGACAAACTGGTGGACTTTTTCCTGTTTGGATGCGCCCGCGAGGGTGGATCTGTGGGAGTTGGTGGTGAATGTGAGACCAAAGAATCTTCCGGCTCAAGCCAGGGCGAGGGAAGGCAGCAGTCCCTGCGCTTTCTGGGCTGGGATTAGCTCAGTGGGGAGAAAATGGGCTGGCCGAGGGAAGGCCAGAGGAGACTCCAAGGATGCGCCTGTGCTTGGCGTCCGGACCAGCCTCATTCCTGGGAAAGCCTGGAAGTTCCAACCTAACTCACCGAGAGACCAACACGACAGAGCGCAGCTGGATCTGGCGAGGCTTTCCCTGGCTTGGAACAGACCTTCGCGGACCCACAATCTTCTCGGTAACAACTTCTGAACGGCCCCCTCTCGCCCCCGAGCCTCCCTCGTGTCCTCGCGGCACTGACACCGACCAGCCCTTTCCGCAGGCACAGCATGGGCACTCACCCTGGAAGCGGTGGCCGAAGAAGCGGTTCCGCAGGACCCAGGGGTAGAAGTGGAGAGGGTCCCGGTGCTGGGCGCCGAAGAAGGAGTGCGGGGGCTGCAACGGGGAGGCGCCCAGCTGGTGCGCTGGGTGCACGGTCAGCGCGGGGTGGTTCATGGCCTCGGGAAACACGAGCTCCGGCCCTCCGTAGAGCGAGCGACCGGCGCCCGCGGCGGCTGCGGCGGGGAAGCCGCTCACGAAGGCCGCCTCGGCCGCGCTGGGGTGAGGGTAGTTGAGCGCTGTGGGCCGGAGTGGTTCCTCTGAAGCGGCCGTCGCCAGGGGATGGGAGCCCGCGCCCCCGCCTCCAGTGCTCCCGCCGGTGCCACCGTCCTTGGCCACCAAGGATTCTATGGTAAAACCCCGCTTAGCCGCGGGCTGGAACATGGTCGCGGCCGCCGAAGCCGTGAGAGGCAGCGGGGCTCTGGGGAGCGCTCCGTGTCCTGGCGCTGCCGCCTTGCGGGGTGTGCACCCAGCCAGGCACATGCACATACACCCGCACCCCTCACCTCCCCCGCCCGCCTGCCTGGGCTCGGCCCCCGCCGGCGAGCCAGGAGCGGAGCGGCGAGGGGTGTGCGAGCGAGCTAGCACAGAGTCCGGCCACCGCGCGCAGCCTGGAGCTTCGGCCCCTCTGGCCAAGCGGGCAGTTTCTGGCTCAGGCACTGGCGCTAACGCGGTCTGCGTGCGCCACTATGAGCTGCCTCTACGACCGGAGGCTTGTGCCCGGCTCCCTCCCTTCCAAGTCACGCCAGGACCGACCCCCGCCCGCGATCCTCCCAGCACTGCCCCGTCAGGCCTCGGCAGCCGCGCTGCTAGGCGCGAGTTAGCGGGCACCTGCCCGGCGCTCGCCCATTGGCCGCCGCTCACCTGCCCCAAGGTGGGGGGCGGGGCGGGGCGGGGCGAGGGACGGCGGGTGGAGATGGAGCTCGCAGTTGGAAGCAAAAGCCGGACTGGAAAATGTGCGGGACCATCTAGCCTCCCCCTCTCCGCCCCACCACAAGGTTTTCCCTGCGACTCCTCCCTTTAGCTGAGTCTGGTGGCCTCCGAGCAGTCTCAACCCACGGTGGGGTCAGAGAAGATGTCGGAAGAAAACTGGGACTTGGCAAACCCTTATCTCTAGTGTGAAACTCAGTTGAACCCTCTTCCATTCATCCTGGGATGTCATTTCAGTTCTTAGAGAACTTGATCTGGATTTGAGCATAGGGTGGGTGTTTGGGATCCAACAAATACGCCCCCCTCCCCGAGAATAAGTTCCCCGCTCCCCTGACCTGAGGGACCTTCCCGCTCACCCACCATCCATCTCTTGAATGCTCTCTGAAGCTGTGGCCTTGTTTCTGAGGTTTTGCGTTTCCTGGATGTCTTGGGGGACAGCTCCGGAATGGGGACGCTCATTCTTTTCACAAGGAACCAGGCAGAAGCGGAGCAGGAACAAGTCGCCGGGTCCATCACCACACAGCTCTCAAGCAACATTTCGCGATGCTCCGAAAATAGTTCGTTTACCCAGTCACCTTATGGTGTCTGGCTCAGACCGGGACAGTGGGCCTCAGCGCAGGGAGATCTGCTTTCCTTGCCTTCTCTGGTGGTGGGCTCAAGTCCGTCTGGGGTCTCAGGGACATTGTACCTTAAATTGGAGCTGCTGGAGCAGCTCGACCTGATCCCCAAGAGGACATGCCAGCGGTACTAGGAAGCCAGCGTTCTCGGCCTCCCGGACCTTCCTTCACCTTACACCTGTGACCATAGAGCAGTGATGAGTCTTGCTTGGGCCTATTTCCATTTCATGCTGTAATCTGCCGGGGATGAGAGAGCGATTGGCAATGAAAACCCTTACTCCGCAAACTTTTCCACCAGGGCATTCCAGGTCGCAAGAAAACACCTTGTGGAGGCCTAGAAAGGCTCATAGGGAGGCTGCCACCCGCACTTTGCCAGCCCATCGGGAGGAAGGGATCCAAGCGAGTTCCGCTTTCTCATCGCTGCCGGGGTCAATCCGAGTGGCTAGAGGGGCGCACGAGCGCACAGATCCGGGTCGGGTCCCCTGGAGCCGGGAGGCCAGGGGGTCTGCTCGTCGCACAACTCTGCGGGGACTCCAGGCCAGGTCTTGGCAGTGGCCTGTCTGAGAGCCAGGAGCCTTGGTCCGGGAGGGCGCTCCGGGCGCCCCTGCAGCCACAAAGCGGGTTAAAGTCTATTTTCCACTCGACTGCTCCGAAAAGCTCCTGCGCGCCGACGCCGTTCCGGCCCCCTTGGGCGAGATGGAGAGGGGGTGGCTATAGGAAGAGGAGGCCAGAGGACCGCACCCTGCAGTCTTTCACGTCCTGGGCAACCCAGGGTCAGGCACCGCGGCGACGCCCCGGAAACGCCCTGGGAAGGAATTGTTACTGAACCTGCGGCGAGCGCCGCGGGTTTTAGTGGCCTCTTTGGATCTTTCTGGCTCTCGGTGATGGTCGCTCCTTCTCTCCGGTTTCTGTCTGGGGCTATCCCCCGCCTCCGTTTCCGTTTCCCTGCCCCCACTACCACCTTTTTTTCTTTTCCTCCTTCTTTGCCTCACCCTCAGTCTTGGAAAAGGACGAGCGCCGTCGGGAAAAGGACCCGACCAAGCCAAATCACTAAGGGCGCGAGGATGTGCGGATAAGGAGAGGAACAGAACAGGAGATTTTCGTTTTCTATGTTAGGAGATGACAGGGAATTTTGCCGGAGCAAGGTCCCCTAGGGAAGCGGATTCAGTTGGATATACATTCCCTAGGCCTGTACCCTGCGGCTGTAGACCAAGGGTTGGGATGTGCAGCGGAGGAGACTGGAGCCATTGGGACTGGTTGAACCCGCTCCCAGGGCCTTGATTCTCTAGCCCAGGGATGAACTAATCTTACCGGTCTATTTCTCGCCTTCCACTCAAGCTGCTGAGCTCTGCTAGAGACTGGAGCCTGATCATACACACTGGAATACCTATGTCCTACACATCTGCAGGTTACTTATTTTTAATTTCGGATCTATCCAAACCCACCCCCAGCTTCCTGGATTTCCCGTCTCCCCACAACCCAGTGCCTCACTTTCTGCAGAGGAGCCTGATGCCAACCAGGCTGACACAACCTGAGCCACCTGTCTTGGTTCTGGCCCCACATCAACATTTTTCCTTCCTCCTCCCATCTCTGGAATAACCAAGGCTCAAATCCTGGCTCTTCCATTTTCTAGTGATGAAACCTGAAGCCAATTATCTTGCTTCAGCTTGTACATCTATAAAATGGCAAATATTATATGGGCTCTGTGATTATTAAATGAGATAGCATGTAGTGCACAGGGCCAATGACTGACTCCAAAGAAACACCAGGTGAAAGTTATTGACACTGCCTTTGCCCATGTGGGAAACTAGAAAATGATCCTCATGTCCTCCTCCCAGCTGGAATGCTGCGGTATACATCATGGCTCCCAGCACAGCCTGGCGATTTCTCCAATAGAGCGTTCATCTTGCAGAGGGCTTGATCTGTCAATATCCTTAGCCATATCCCTTTTAGCTTCCAACTTCCTCTTTCCTCTTCAGCCTACTTTTATCTTAATGTTTCTTCACATACAAAAATTTTCTATCCTCATGTTTCCCTTAGTCTGTTGTCTTTTCTTCACCACCACACTTTCTGGATACATTTTAGACTTTCTTCAATGCTCTCAACTTCTCTTTCACTCACGCCTTTGCAACCAGACTTCTGCCTCCATCACATTAGAAAAAGGGGTTGCAAAGTTTCCAAACTTACATGATGTTATTATTGCAAGAGCCACATGTACTTGTGGAGATGATGATAAGCACAACAAACTTGTTGCTGATTTTGAGATTAGATTAGTTATAATCCTGGCCTGAAGGACTTACAGCAGTCCCTAACACATAGGAATTGATATATGTTAGCTGCTATTATCTTAATAGAGCTCTGCTCTTCAGGAGACACATTTGTTTATAAGGCATACAAAATATGGATGGCCCAAATTGAGATGTTCTATAAATGTAAATATACACCACATTTGAACACACAAGTTTATTTTTTTTTAAGACACACCATAATTGGCACCGGACAGGCTTAATGTTTAAAATATGTAAAATATCTTTTTAATATTTTCTATATTGATTACATGTTGTAATGAATGTATCAAGTTAAAATACATTAAAAATTTCTGGTTTCTTTTTAAGTTTTTTAATGTATTACTCCAACATTTACAATTACATATGTGTCTAGTGTCGTATTTATTTTTTTTAATATTTTTGTGGTTGTAGATGGATACAATACCTTTATTTTATTTATTTATTTTTATGTGGTGCTGAGGATCGAACATGCTAGGGAAGCACTCTACCTCTGAGCCACAACCCCAGCCCTCATGTCATATTTCTACTGGACAGAGTTGTTATAGAAAATAAAGATAATGCAAAAGGGGGATAGATAAAGGGGAATGAGAGAATGGAAAGCTTCTTATTTTCAAATGCAAGTCTTTTTTTAGTCATTATTGTCCTTAGTGTCTTCAGCATTGAGTACCTTTAACTCCCTTTTCTTTTGGAAACTCTCTTCCTTTTATTTTCCTTTCCTTTGCTGCCTGTAGGAGTTGCTCCTTCAAGGACACCATTTGTTCTTCTAAGTGGGTGTCCACTAAGGTATCCCTGTCCTTAGTCCTTCCTCATTCCGTTGATTCTATCTTTATCTATCTATCTATCTATCTACCCATCATATACTCATATAGCTTCTACCAATATTTGATGCAAATTCCTTATGAGTTTATATATTCCCCCAGACCTAGTCATTAAATTTTAGATGCTTGTGAGATGTTTTCTTGGGGATCCCACAGACCCCCAAGACATTCACCATCCCCCCCAAACTGAGCTCAACATCTTCCCTACCAACTCTGTGCCTCTCCCTGGCTTCTCTCTTTTGATAAGGAGCATGCCTTTCTGCAGGACCTAGGCTCAGCAGCTAAGAGGCATTTGCGATGTCCCCTTCTCAGTCATGCCCTTTCTTTCTATTTTACCTGCCACTGGCCTAATTTGGGCTCTCCATGATACATTTACATTTGTGATTTCTCCTCTCTACAATTCATTTTATACATAACCACCAGAGTTCTATAATATATACCTCTATACTCTTTTTAAAAATAGTTGGAATTATCACTGTAATAATAGAACAGTCAGATAATAGAGGACTTGAGAAACACTATAAAGTTAACATAATGCACACACATATTCAGAGCGCTCCACCCAAGAACAGCAGAGTAATATCTTCTCCTGTTCTTTAACAAACATTTTAATTTTCCTGCAGAAAATGATAATTCAAATTATATTAGATATGAAGTTCCCCCAATTTTCTCCCCAATCTCCCATCACTATTTTATAAATTTTAGCTGCAGATGAACACAATATCTTTATTTATCCATTTAATTTTTAATGTAGGTTCCAACCCAGTGCCTCACAAGTGTGAGGCAAGCACTCTACCACTTAGCCACAGCTAGTGTCATTGATTTGTAAGACAGATTCCACCCATAGGAAAGACACTTATTAGGAAAAATGCACTTCTGATTATTCTGCATCTCTATACTCTTAACATTTGTTTTCACACAACAGTGGGACCCAGGTCAGTTTCATAAATAAACCATTACTCAGTTTTTCAGCATCAATATGGAGATAATAATAACACCTACTCTGGAGAGGTGTCAAGAGAATTAGAATCAGATATACCTCTTGGCATATAATAAATTCTAAATAAGCATGGACTGGGAATGCCACTATTTCTGATAAGTTCAAATAGCTTAGTTTAGCATGTGAAGCCATCCTTGGGCAAGCCTCCATCCTCTGCTCCTCTGTGGGCAAAATGCCCTGAACAATACTACCACCAGCAAAGACATTCATCCAAGGACTTCTTGT